ATATATATATATATATATATGAACGCTTTTTTAGTAGTTATATTTTCGTTGATGCTAATTATCTATCAATATTAAAAATCTGATGACGTGGTGTGATAAAAATCCAATCTTGTTAATTGTCACATAATATTTTTTTAGTCGACTATTCAATTTATTGTAGCCGTTTATTTAATATAATACAATTAAAACAATAATACTCATAATGTTAGAGTAATCATTAGAACCACACCCATATGTTAATGAAACTAATAATATGATTTATCTTTTCCGTTGAAGTTAGCTTCATATATTTGATTAATTTAATTATGATTATATTCTGCTTATCTCTTTTTCAATGGCAGAATGTTCACAGAATCATGCAAGCGTATAAGGCTGATGAAAAGTTCAGAGGCTGTTGGATTAGGTAATACATAAGTTCTTAAAATATACATGATATACATTACTAGTGATCTCATCTCTTTCTGATAACCTAAACTTGTTATATATTAATACTAAAATTCGTTTACCAATTTCTTTTTCCCTGTTTTTTTTTTTTTTTTTTTTTTTTTTTTTTTTTTTTTTAACAGCTCCGACACCATACAACTCCAGATCATACACAAGCACGAATTAAGACACAAATCAACTGAAATTGGAGAGACTCCATGAATGTAAATATAGTAGCTTAAATTAGGTGTAGAGTTTGCTTTTTGTTTAAAGATAAATGAGTAATCGAAAAAGGTGTGAGGGTCTTTTTAGTGGGACTCGAATTCAGAGCATCCTCATCGTGTCCTACTACTACTAGACTACGCCTGTATGGCTTAGTCAAGCATAATGAAACGTCTTTGTTAAATATCAGTATGAATTAATAAGAAAGAAGCCATTAGATGATTGTACTTCAGCCATATATATTAATGTTCTCATATTTTATTTTATTTGATGAATTTCGCTTGTACTATATACATCAGTTGGTTAAGCAAAGTAACCTTATTGTGGTTTAATAATTTTAATACATCCCTGGTCATCTTTAACTTTTTTCTCAACATATTGCTATGCTCGGAAAGGGAAAAAAAGGGTACTAGGCATGGCATATTTATAAGATCCAGTTAGCATACTGGTGATTAATAAAAATTTCTAGATTCAACAACTAATAATGCAAAAACATAAAAACAACTAGAAATTGGTATCGCGGTTCGGTGTGCACACTTATATTCATAGGGTAACGCCCATACAGTAAACAATCCACTAAGATAAAATGATTACAAACACTACTCGCTTTTACACATTTAAAGTCTCATTCATTGATGTTGTCGTCGTTGTGGAGAATCCTCTTAGTTGCCTTGTCCAGCGAGCACTGCTCGTCTTCGAACTGCTCGACGAACTCCCTTTGACTGGCAGTGGTTCTTCCAGGAAACAACACCTTCTTCTCCCGAAAAATGAATATCACACCCTATGAAGGCTCACAAATGCACATACCCTTTCTAAATATTTTTCACGTTAATTGCCTATAACAATGAGCTGAAAATAATGCCAAGGCATCAACACCTCACAAGAATCATTCCAAGAAATCTCCACAATTCTCTCATAAATCAAATCCGAAAAGAATATCCTGCCAATTCAATTCAAATTACCAAGTTTAAATTTGAATATTAAACTAAATAAAATATCCGAATTTCCTTTGAAATCACGCAGCCCACATCTTCTCTTCATCATATTTAACATTCGAAGCTTTCCAAAAATACCATAATCCCAATCAATCACCGCCACACTATTTCCAAATTAATTCCCACATAATATCCTTCAAAATGGCGTTAATATCTAACCAAATATCTCCACTTCTTCAAATTAAACTAATTCGGATATTTACTCATCTCATGACAACATATCTTCACGTTGACCACATATTCAAATTCCAAAGCCAAACCATTATTCTATGTGCTAGCATTATCTCACGTTGGCAAAAGTATTTCACCAAATCTGCCACTTGTCTTATATGGCACTTGATTTCACATTGTAAAATCTCGGATTAAGCAATCAAATCCGATCTCCAACTTCAACTCAAAAACTCGGCACAGATTCTGCATAAATCTTCTACAACTCGGCAACTTCAATCTTCAAGCGAAACCTGTTTTTGAAATTACAGACACGTTTCTAAAACATGTCAACTGGACAAAATACCTAATAAAATTAAAGAAGAAAATAAAGGGAGAAGAGAATACAGAAATTTAACGTGATTTTACATTGTGCTTACATCCACAGATTAAAACAGAGAGAGAATAATCACTAGCAAAAAGTACTATAGAATGGGCCCATATAAGTAAATGTTATAATCACATAATTGGATAATCAAGTTACCTAATCATCCAATATAGAGATTTTCTTATGTGATGATAAATAGAAATATAGTCAAAATGCTAGTAAAGGTAACAAAATATAAAATATCGACTTTCTCTAATAAAGATAAACTCATCGTCTGTAGTATAAGAGCATAAAAGGACGGACTGCTTTATTAATCTCCCTAAATACACAACACGACACTCCTCTAGAAAAAATAAGACAATAAATTAGACTAATTAAAAATAATCATCAAACTCATTACACCCAAAATGCATGGCCTCCTTGAGTGGACACTAGCAAGCCTATATATAGCTTAATACCTGCTTAACAGTATACCAGGATTAATTTAAAAAAAAAAAAAATTCTAAAATTGAAAAATCAATATTACCCCCTTGTATTCTGTGTTTAGTATTGCCCTTATTGTTTTTAATTTGATTAAATTGGTCTATTATGATAAAATGTTAGCTATAAATTACAATTAAGATGTAATATGACTATTATAAAAAAGATAGTTTTATAATTTTTTGCGTTTTTTTTAAACTATAATTAAGAGGCTCCTTGAATTTAAGATCATGTACTATTGATGTTGCTATGGTAGAAGCACTTCTGGTTTTTATTTAGGGAAAATTTCATATTGATATCCTGCGTTTTAACATAACTTCTTTTAGTATCATGTGTTTTTAATAATTTTAAATTGATACTTCGACATTTTACAAAATCAATTTTTAGTACCTTAAGGCCATTTTGCTTCTCATTAATTAACTAAAAAACTAATAATTATGCAAAATTTTCTAAACATTTAAAAAAATTGAAAATAAAAATAATGCTTTAAATTAAAAATAATGTTTTAAGAATTTTTTTCTAAATTTATTAGTTTTTAGTAAAGTAATGAGAAGAGTAAATTTGTCATTTTACATCTAAAAAAGTGACATTAAAATATTAAAAAATAATTTTTTAAAACGTCAAAGTACACAATTTAAAATTACTAAAAATACATGATATAAAAAATAATTATGCTAAAATACATGATACTAATATGAAAATTTTCCTTTTTATTTACTAGTCATGCATGCATTGTTCGCCACATTTTGACGAGAAAACAATGCAAATCCCTGTAATCTTGGAACCTGACTTTCAGGAGATAACCAAAAAAAAAAAAAAAAAGAAAAAAAAAGAGAGTTTGCTTTTACCAAATGCTTGATTTGATTCGCTAAAAAAGTTGACATTACAATCCGACGAAATAGGCCAAAGAAGATGTACTGTACATAAGCACCTGTGATTTAAAATTCAAAGTCAATAAGCTTTTCTTATCATGGTTTAGGTTCTTTTACTGTTGTTATTTTTTCCTACTTTTTGCTTTTGGTACACAAAACTTATGAATTTGGATGATACCACATTTTATATCCAATTTTGCTTACCAACATTTAAATTAACAATTCACTCTTGAAGTACTATTTTCACAAGAATGTATATCTTAGACCACATTCTACTAAAGATGTACTTTAACAGAAGACTAAAAAGTAAAAACAGTCATTTTAATTCCAATTCAATTTTCAATTTTTTTTTTAAATTTTTGGGTGGGGGAGGGGTGTCTTTTCTAGTTAAACTTGATTTTGATGCAAACCCTTCTTTTCCCATTCTCATTATTTAATTGTGAGTTTGTGACCAAGGGCCAAAGTTATGCTCTTTAGTTTGAAATTTCAAACTTTTTTGGTACTCTAACTTTTTATTTTTTGTTTTCTTTTTTCTTTTTCCTTTAGAAATCTTAAGATTCTTAATCTAACAAAAAATAAAAATAAATGAAAAATGCGGTCATACCAAACGACACATCTGGTGCATACGCTCAATACCGACAAGATACAAGGTTGGTACTTAGTACTCCTCACCTGCATTAGATACCCCACTACGACAAGTACAAATAAAAAGAAAAACAACCCTTTTTATTTTTATTTTTATTTATTTTTCATTTTTTTACCCAAAAAGAGCTTAACCCAATTCATATCTAATACCACCCAAGCCAAACAAAAAAGTCTCACAATAATCATTACTACTAATAATCTTCTTTTCCTCCTAAGCAAAAGGATCTTAAGCTTTCTTATTCTATTTTTATATTTAAATATAAATAATTAAAATAAATAATTGTACCTTTTATTTTTTATTTTTTTCTTGTGTTGGTGGAGACTGGTAGTACCTGCAATTCTCAGAAAATGCCACACCGCTTATTCTCTTCAATCGAGGACCTCTTATTGATCTTCTTCCATGGACTCATGATAGAAGAAAATCAATATAATCATCATCATCATCATCATTTTCATACCAAAAAGAACAACTTCACACCCAATATTTACCCCTCCAAACACGGCCTTTCCTATACCCAATAATAACACTCTCTTTTTATTTTTCCTTTTTTTTTTTTTTTTTTTTTTTTTTTTTTTTTTTTTTTGTTGTTGTTGGGTTTTCATGATTTTTAAAAAGTAAAAATGGCTTCTTTCTTTTCTTCTCTCCTCTCTTTCAAAAAAGAAAAGGAAAAAAATAAAATAATGATAAAAAAAAAACATTATGGGATTTTTGAGGTTCTCATGAGCTTCTTCTCTGTGGCTTCTCTCCTTCGCTAAAAGCTCTCTTCTTGTGAATTCACTCTTGCCCACAAGCTCAAAATCAGGTATTTTTTTATAATCTCTTCATCTTCCTTTATTTCTCTCGCTGAATGGCCACTTTAGCTTACTTGCACAGATTTGCTTTTCCTGTTCCTGAACATAAAAGTGTGATTATATTGCATTGTTAAGATCATGGGTTCAGTTAAGATTCCTTCTCAAAGTTTCATACTTTTTATGAGAATTTTCCATCTGGGCTTTTATCTACCACTCCGATTGTTTTAGATCCTTGGTGTTTCTTCTGTCTTGTTCTGGTTTCTAGTCCCAGATCTGGTTTGTACTGACCAATTTGACTTCTGTGACTAGTGTTGTTAATTGGTTGAAATTTTTGGCTTTCTGTTTAGCTCATTGACTTTTTATTCTCATCTCAAGTTCAAAAGAGTGTTGTATTTGAAAAAATTTGTTCATGGTTTAAAAGAATTGGACCAAGTTTGATCTGGGTTAGTCTGTGCTGTACAATGCCATTAGAAGGTAGAAACTCTCAATTCTTTTACTTCAGACTTTGGTTTTTTGTTTCTTTGGTTTATGTTTTGAGAAAGAAATGTGCTGATGTTGAAAATGATCCCATGATATTTGTAATCAAGAGTTCTTGTCAGCGAAAGATATTCTAATTTTTTGAAACATTACAAACAATTAAGTAGGAAAAGAAGACGCTAGAATTGCCTGTATAGAAGTGTTTTGTTGGTTGATATTGATCATGATGGTTCATGATGCCCCTATACTGCAGAAAATAATACTAAGCAGGGGCTTTCTACTTCTGGATCTGTAGCCTCAAAAGTTGATTGTAAATCTTGTTTCTTTATCATTTCTATATATCTCATTACTGTCATTTCCTCTTTTCTGAGGGTAAAAACAAATTTTGTTCCAACTTTCCTATAATCTCTTGTTAAATGGTGTTCTATGCCTTCCTTTTTCAGTACTGAAATGTTTCATATCGCTTTTGAATGATTTTTGTCCAAGTACTTAGCTTGAATTTTATCGATACTTATGGTACAACATGTGGATAATTCCTTGCCTGTTATCAGGAGTTGATGATCAATCGAAGAATGAGATGTTTTCCTTAAAGACTATAAAGCAATATAGAACCGAAGACTTCTGTGCTGCTGCCGACCATCCTCCTTCCCCAGCAGTTTTCATTTGATATTTTGGCATATTAAACAAACTGCTATTTTTATTGATCCAGGCAGCAGCATTGCTACCATGCTGAAACAAATTCTAAGCAAACTTCCTCGTAAGTCTCCAAAATCGGATTTGCTAGATGGGGCAGGGAGTGATTCAGGCAGCAATTCCTCCAAGTTGGGTAATGGATTCCAATGTACAATTGGTGGGAGTTCTCTTTCTAGCAAGTTAAATGTTGTTAAACGAGTGTCTTCTGCGGTATTCCCAGCAAGCATCACAGCTGGTGCGGAGGTAGTGGAACCCCATCTATCCTTTAAAGATGTCTCAAATCCGCAGAAGCAGAATCTATTTATCAGTAAGCTCAACCTTTGTTGTGAGGTCGTTGATTACAATGATTCGGTCAAGCAAGATCTTAAACGTGACACATTGATAGAGCTCGTTGATTTTGTTTCTTCTGGATCTGCAAAGTTAACGGAATCAGCAATTTCAGCGATGTGTAAAATGTGTGCAGCCAACCTGTTTAGAGTTTTCCCACCTAAGTATCGCTCTAGCAGCACTGGCGGTGAAACAGAAGACGAGGAACCGGTGTTTGACCCTGCTTGGTCGCACCTACAAATTGTGTACGATCTGCTTCTTCGGTTTGTCAGCAGTACCTCACTTGATGCGAAGATGGCAAAGAAATATATTGATCATTCGTTTATTTTGAGATTACTTGACCTCTTTGACTCTGACGATCCAAGAGAAAGAGACTGCTTGAAAACGATTCTTCACAGGATTTATGGAAAATGCATGGTACATAGGCCTTTTATCCGAAAAGCCGTCAGCAATATCATCTATCGCTTTGTCTTTGAAACTGAACGGCACAATGGAATTGCGGAGCTGTTGGAGATTTTTGGCAGTGTAATTAGTGGCTTTGCAATGCCACTCAAGGAGGAGCACAAAATATTCTTGTGGAGGGCTCTGATTCCTTTGCACAAGCCAAAATCAGTGGGAATTTATCATCAGCAGTTAACATATTGCGTCATACAATTCATAGACAAGGATCAAAAGTTGGCTAGTAATGTGATAAAGGGCCTGTTGAAGTACTGGCCAGTTACAAATAGCCAGAAAGAGTTGATGTTTTTAGGTGAGTTGGAAGAGATTTTGGAGATGACTAGTATGGTGGAGTTCCAAAAGATAATGGTTCCCTTATTTAGGAGAATAGCTTTCTGCCTCAGTAGCTCACATTATCAGGTATTAATTCTCTTGAACTAGTGTTATTTTCATGGAAAATGCTAGAGTTTCCTAAGTTATCTGCCTTTTTTTTTTTTTTTTTTGGGTACCAAGTTGTGGCAAATGAGTTTGTTAATTTTCCTTTGGCACAAATGAAAGACAACAATTATCTTGTCACATCACTGTTACAAAACATTTATTGATAACTTGGGATTCCTAAAGACAACATCATCCCATTTCCATACTAAAAAATTGTCACTAAAATGTCTTTATGTCTCTACTCACTAAAGTATGCATGCACTTTTTTGGGCATTAGTTGATCAAGTTGTTAATTTCCTGCTTGCTTTTGCCTTCCCCTTTTCAGGTGGCTGAACGAGCCCACTTAATGTGGAATAATGAGAGCATTCTTAATCTCATCACGCAGAACCGCCAGGTGATTCTGCCGCTTGTCATCCCCGCCCTAGAGCGGAATACACAGAATCACTGGAACCAAGCAGTGCTAAACTTGACACTTAACGTGAAGAAGGTATTCTGCGAGATGGATGAGGAGTTAGTCCTTGCCTGTCAATGCAAGTTGGAGGGGGAAGGTGTAAGGTTAAAGGATGCAGCCGAGAAGCGAAGACTAGCATGGGAATTGCTCGAAACCACTGCTGGTCTCCCACCTGCCACCACCACCGCCGCCACCACAACTGCTGGGGCCGGTAACTTTCTAGTTCCTGTAAAGCCTACAGCTACATGCTCCGTTGCCTGCTAATTTGGTGAAAAACAGTATTTGGTAAACAAGTCAATCCCATAAACGTGACAGCTCTAGTTGCAGTATCAGATATTGGTTCTTGAAAATCTGAGTTTGGGATTAAAAAAAAAAACAGAGAGAGAAATTGGGTGTGTATTAGTGAGTGGATTTGTGTTATATTGTATTAATGATCCCTCTGCCCTTGAAATTGCAAGAGGCACTTTTGCTTGCGATAATATTATTGTGTCAATGAACGTCTGTTGTATATTACTATATTTCCTCAAGTTCTGTTTGTTTTTATAACCTCTATATATCTATCATAAGTTGAATCTGATACCCTTTGTTAAAGACTCACAAAAAGATATATATATATATATATTATAATATATAATGTAATAGTACTTGAAAAGTACTTTCAAGCCATTTGATCAGAAAGATGTATAGACAATTGTTTGTGTTCTTGCATTTGCATAAGTTTGCTGTTTGTAGGTTAGATATCATAGGACACTACTCAAGTTTTACTCCAATCCCATTGGATTGGCAAGACATTTGTGGAAACTAGCTTTCTCAAGTGAAAAATCTAAAGAGGATGTGATAAAACGGGTGCTGAGAAAGTTCTGTAGATATGGACAAACAATTAGATTGTGCATGTGCATGTTTGCATTAAAAATTTACAGGCGTGTGATATATAACTACTGCTCTATATTAGACCATTGAAAGGTTACACAGCTTTTACCGGTGGAGGATTCTTTGAGAATTTCCAACAAACAAATAAATAGCTGAAAAATTTAAAGTGTTTTTGATGTTTTAGGAGACTAGTGGTGGCATGAATCACGGGGTAGCTGTGATGGCAACTACTCTTGTGTCCTTTCACAAAAGTTTTTTTTTTTTTTTTTTTAATTTTTTTAATTTTTATTTTTTAATCCTTTGCCAGAGTTAAAAGAGCAGCTGAAACGGGCGGTGGAATAAGAAAAAAGAAAAAACAAGATAAATGGATGCATGAGACCCACTTGCACATTGATATGACCTGCCCTGTCCCTATTTTTATTTATTTAATTTATACACGTTCCACCTCCATGATTGACTCATAAAAATCAGCCACCCCACCACTTGTCGTTCCTACAAATCTCAATATCTTTTTTGAAACAAATTACCGTCTCAGTAAGTCGGCTAGTTAGATTTAATTAAATATATGTAAAATAAATAATTTTTTTATATAAATTTATAAATTAAAAAATAGATAATTATTAATAATTTTTTCAATCTTACCAGAAAAATTCCTACTATTAATTCAAAAAAAGTACTCAAAATAATGTTATTATTATGAAAGAAAAAATAAGAAACTTTAACATTTTATTCAAAATAATATTTATTTTATTATAGCACCTGTAGTTTAAAAATTATCATTTGAGTACCTTAATTTTTTAAAAATTATCGGATGCCGTTTATGTCATTATAATCTAAAAACATAATAAAAAACAAGAAATTCAAAAATAACAAAAAACATCATTTCATTTTTTTTAGCATTTTCTTCTCAAATTTTATGTTTCTTTTTTCTTTAATCGATGTTTCAAAAAAGGTTTTAAAATATTAATTTAGTTTCTAGACTACATGGTACCTCAATATGATTGTTAGAATCAACAGATATGATAACGTTAAAACTATTATTCTCACCACTAATCTTTTAACCATTTACCTCATGAATTTTAAAAACTTTTACTTCATGACTTGAATTTTGAATTAATTCCACTCAATCTTTTTATTAAAATTTTCATTAAAAATGATAGAAGAAAACGGGAGAATTAATAACACTTAACATCTTCCTTTATAATTGACATAGATGGAAAATGACAAAAAAAAAAAAAAAATCACACGACTTCACTCAACCCCTTTTTCTATTGTTTTTAACAGAAATTTAAATAGAGGAGGTTAAGTGAAATCAATTTAAAATTAAAAAGGGTAAAAGAAGAGTTTTAAAAGTTTAGGAAATGATAAGTTGATGGAACACCGGTGAAAATAATCCTTATTTTTTATTAGTGGCTCTCGAATAAAAACCTGAGTCTCTGGCTCTCACCTCTAAACACTTACTCTTAGATAATACGTTGTGCCGATCTTTGCAAAAATCTCACAGTTAGCCCCTTATTAGAGTCAGTCTAAAAATAGATGGAAACACATAAAAAGAAAGTATGGTGCAGGTATAGAAAAGAAGGAGGTGGAGATGAGAAAATGAGGAAAACCTAGCTCAATAAGAGCTAAGGGCAAAAGATATTATTTATACTCAGTATGCTAGTACAAAGAATCAATTATATATGTGGCACACATCTAGACTAACAAAATTGGCAAGTTCTATACATAGTACTATACATTCAGCTGTACACAATTGTTTTGTATTCTAACATCCCCCCTCAAGCGAATGGGGTGAGGTACCACAATGAGCTTGCTGCGCAGAGAGAGAAACCGATTAGAAGGTAAAGGCTTAGTCATAATATCGACAAACTGATCATTAGAAGGAGTGTATTCAACAGTGAGAGTTTTATCCATTACTCGTTCGCAAACAAAATGGTAGTCAATCTCGATATGCTTCGTGCGAGCATGAAGCACGGAGTTGGCTCCAAGATGAAGTGCACTAATATTATCACAAATGAGCACTGGTGTAAGATTGAGAAGAATCTGAAGCTCAGTCAAAAGAATACGCATCCATAAGACTTCAGCTCCGGCATTAGCGAGACCGTGATATTCAGACTCAGTGCTACTTCGAGAGACTACACATTGTTTGGTGGAAGACCATGAGATGAGGTTGGGTCTAAGAAAAGCACAATAGCCACTGGTACTTCTGCGGTCATCTGAACTAGAGGCCCAATCGGCATCAGTGAAACAAGAGACAGCGAAATCAGAGGAGGCCTGAAAGGTTATGCCATAGGAAAGTGAGCCGCACAAGTAACGAAGAATTCGTTTGACTGCTATCCAATGAGATGATTTAGGAGCTGTTGGTTTTCGAATCGAATTCAGATGCAGAAGCGTGGGGAAATCGGATCAAGTGTAACAAAAATTTTCATAAAACCTTTGAGATACTCTATAGATTATATTAATTTATGCATGAATAAATTAATCACTGTAATTCATTTATTAAGAACTCAATTACGAATAATACCTGGCGGCCAATTAGGATGATAACTTGAGTTCTTTGACCTCGAACAATCCTTGCTCCAAAGCCTTGTGTTTAGAAAATTAATGTCTTCCACATCAATTCCTAGAATCTACGAAGATGTGTGTGTGGGCACACCTGAGACAAAACGGGTTAGAATAAACACTCAAATTTCCACAAACACTAATGCATGCACGATGTGAAATTTTTGACGAAAACATTTTCCTCTCACTATACTAGAGAATTTCGGCCACCACATAAAATATAGATAAAAAATTGTTCAAAAATTGTGTCTCACAATTTTCTATCATTCTTTTATTTATAGAGTAGAAGTCAAACTCCTAGAAGGAATACAATCTTTATCTCCAAGATAAAGCTTGTTAATTATCTCATATTTGAATTTGAAACAAAAGTCTCATACTCCTTATCCTCAAGATGGCCGGCCATGCATGGGGATTCTCATCCCTGTGTGGCGCCAATTTCAAATAGGGAAGGAAGAGAAAATCATCCTTTATCCTGCAGTCCAATTTTAATTCAAATTTAAATTTAAATTTAAGTCAAACTTAAATTAATTTGAATTCTAAATTGAACAACTTATCAATAAGTTTAAAAGGATAAATTTAAATTATGTTCACAATTTAAATTCAAATTTAAATAATCACATTATTTAAATAATAATTAATTCTCAATTAATTATTTTCAAGTGTTTACTTTTAGAATTCCGTAATTCTAAAATTTCCATTTTACCCTTTGCGTATGGTAGAATTACAACTACGACGTGGGGACCAATAGACCTATAATTCTAAGCTCCAATAAAATTAATAATTAATTAAACACTTTAATTAATTAATTAATTCTATTAATTCTAATAGTTACTCCACTATAAACTTAGAATTGCATTCTCAAAATTATAGACATAAATTACTTCTAAACTGTAGAGTGTCCATTTGATATAGTCACTACATATAGATAAATCCTCCATAACTAATTCATAATTAGAGCTAGGTAGAATCCGTTAACCTCTCTAATTATATCTTCATCCTTGAGTACCATTGATTCTTTAATGGATAGTGATTCATAAAACACATTCATGAACCAGAGTACTCTTACTAATCTAAGTACCTAATCAATACTCAAGAGAATTATTTATCTGCTTCTTTCTCAAGAAGGAATGGATTCCATCTCGTATAATAACATTCCCGGCTACCTACTTCATCATGTCTCCAAAATAGAAGAAATTGGATTCAGGGTCTTAGAATCCGTACCGAGTAAATTAAAAGACACAAATCCATAAATAGGAGTTTGTTAAGAACCCAGGATTAAGATCATTCTATATATGACCATCGGTAGACTCAATTAGAATTTTTATACTTAACAGAAATTATTAGAAATTCATATTGTGTCTGTGTCCCTAGTCCACTTAATTTCATTATGCGTAATACACTCATTCAATATCTCACTATATTAACAGTGCGGATAACACAGTTCCATTTTAAATGGGAATGACATGTATTAATAATATTTTAATTAAAGATTTTGAACTTTAATTAAATTCATTACGAACATTTCCTTTTGATTATTATCCTTAAACATTATCCTCTCACATATAACATTTATACACAATGTTTAAGGTCGCATAAATAATCACATAATTTTCATTTGATATTCATAAAATACACATAAATATATGCACATAAAATGATGAATAAACTCATTTATTAAATAAATAATAAATATCCTATCACATCTAGCGCTTCTAGGACACCGTTCCCAACAGTAGCATCCATATATTGATAGACTTTGCAACGCGTGCACGATGTGGAATTTTTGGAGAAAAAATTTTCCCCTCACTATACTAGAGAATTTCGGCCACCATATAAAATATAGGTAAAAAATTGTTCAAAAATTGTGCTTCACAATTTTCTATCATTCTCTTATTTATAGAGTGGAAGTCAAACTCCTAGAAAGAATCTAATCTTTATCTTTAAGATAAAGCTTGTTAATTATCTCATATTTGAATTTGAAACAAAAGTCTCCTACTCCTTATCCTCAAGATGGCCGGCCATGCATGGGGATTCTCATCCCTGTGTGGTGCCAGTTTCAGATTGGGAAGAAAGAGAAAATCATTTTTTATCCTGCAGTCCAATTTTAATTC